GGGGACGACCCGGGGGACCCCCGCCCCCGCCCTGACGTTGTCCACTCTCTGAAGACCCTGTTGGGACAGCTGCCTGACTCTAATTACAACACCCTCCGGCACGTGGTGGCCCATCTGTTCAGGTGTGCGCTGGGCCCCCCTCCCCGCCTCAGCCACTGCTAACCCCGACCCAACCCTCCCCTGACTCGGAATGTGGGGTGCAGCAGCCCCTGACCCCACGCTCTGTCCGCTGTGACCCGCTCAGCTCTGCTCCATCGAGACTGTCACTCCTCCCGCCAGCCCTGCCCCTCACCAGAGGTGACCTTGCTCGCACCCCAGGCCCTGACCCTGCTCCTCGTCCCGTCCCCAGGGTGGCCGCCAAGTGGGAAGAGAACAAGATGTCTGCCAACAACCTGGGCATCGTCTTCGGGCCGACGCTGCTGCGGCCGCCGGAGGAGCCGTGGGCGGCCGGCGCCAGCCCCACCGCCTGCCTGCTGGACTCGGGCTACCAGGCGCAGTTTGTGGAATTCCTCATCGTGTACTACGAGCACATCTTCGGGATGGATGAGCTGCCCCCGGCCCCCGAGCTCTCGTCCCAAGACCCCAGCCCAACCCCCACGCCCCTGACCGCCGGCCCCAGCCTCACCTCGGAGAAGCTTCCAGAGCCCGCGGCCTCCGAGGTGGGAACCCGGGGGGGGAGGGGCTCTTCCCTCGAATCCCCCTCCCCCTTGTCTTTTTGTTTCTTTTTTAAGATTTATTTATTTTTGCTGGAAGGACAGATTTACAGAGACAGAAAGATCTTCCATCTGTTGGCTCACTCCCCAAGTGGCCGCAATGGCCAGAGCTGAGCCAACATGAAGCCAGGAGCCTCTCCCAGGTCTCCCACGTGGGTGCAGGGTCCCAAGGCTGTGGGCCATCCTCCACTGCTTTCCCAGGTCACAGGCAGGGAGCTGGATGGGAAGTGGGGCTGCGGGGATTAGAACCGGTGCTCCTAGGTGATCCTGGTGGTTGCAAGGGGTCGACGATTAGTCTGCTGAGCCGCCACGCTGCTCCCTCTCCCTTCTCTTCCTTTCCTTCCCCATCAATGTCTCTGTTCTTCCATTTCCTCCCTGCCTCCTTTGACCCACACACCTTCTACAACAGTGAAGAATGCCTGTTCAACACAGACAGGCCTGCAGAGGCCACCAGGGAGCACGCAGCCATGCTATCAATAGGGAACAAACTGGAAACCTACTGTGTGCCGAGCATGCCAAAGCCCCTACTGTGTGCGGAGCACAGAGCGGCAGGAGCGAGGGTGCCTCTCCCTGGAAAGCAGGGAGGCGAGAGCTGAGCCACCACTGCCTGCTGTGCTCCGGCGTGGGCATGGGACAGGAGCCTGAAGCCGGGCTTGCCGATACGGACCACGCCAGACGCCCACACTGTGGGCAGACGGTCTGGAAGAGGTGGATGTGGGCATGAAGCCACACGGATCCCGGCGAGGGGGGATGTGTTCTAAGCCCGGGAACGGGCAGTGCCAAGGCCCCGCGGCAGCAGCTTGCCTGGGTGTGTGGGTGTTAGCGAGTGGAGGGGGCGTTGTGTGGGACCCCCCGGGGATGCTATGCCTGCCGAGGATGGAGGTGACGGTCGGCAGTGAACACCCACAGTGCGTGGAGCTGGTGCCGCCGTGCAATGCAGCGCCACCACACCTCACATCCTCCAAGTGGGAGTGCAAGAAGTGTACAGGAAGTGGCAAGGCAGTCACATTGGGTCAGGCGTTCAGCCTAGACAGCCACACCTTACGTCAAAGGACCTTGCTTCAACAGCCCGTCCCTTCAAACCCCCATTCTTCTAAGATTTATTTATTTTTATTGGAAAGACAGATTTACAGACAGGGTGAAAGAAACATCTTCCATTCACTGATTCACTCCCCAAGCAGCCACAGTGGCCAGAGCTGAGCTGATCTGAAGCCAGGAGCCTCTTCCGGGTCTCCCACATGGGTGCAGGTCCCAAGGCTGTGGGCCGTCCTCCACTGCTTTCCCAGGCCACAGGCAGGGAGCTGGGTGGGAAGTGGAGCAACTGGGCCTTGAACCGGTGTCCATATGGCAGCACTGCAGGCAGTGGCTTAATTCACTATACCTCAGTGCCGCCTCCCCTTGGCTCAGTCTTACTTTTTTCTGCTTCCTTCCTAGAGTATCCTTTAGTTGCACACGGCACACGCACGCCCCGCAGGCCTGGAGGCTTTCCTGCTGGGCGGGCGTGGGGTTCTCACGGCTGGCATTTCTCCCTGCAGACCCCAGCTCTGCACACTGCACTAGGGCAGGAACTGGCAGAAGTCGCGGAGGCCGAGGCCGTGGCCGTGGAGGGTGAGTGGGTTGTGGTGCTGGCTCAGGAATTTGGAAGGCTTGTGCCCCTTGTCCTGGGGTGGCTTCGTTAACTGGGTGGGGATACCCAGACGACCTGGGGGGCTGCCTCTTAGCATGGACCACGCTTCCTTGCAGAGACCACCGTCACCACCAGCCAGAACCCCGAGGACTCTTTCCTGGGCACGCAGTCCCGCGGCCACTTCAGCCGGCAGCCAGTGAAATATCCCCGAGGGGGCACGCGACCCGTTGCCTGCCAGCCGGCCAGCTTGGCCACAGGGACCTCCAGGCTCCCCGAGGAAACTCCTGTGGTCCCGGCACACCTGGGGAGTTTTCCGAGAAGGGGGCTTGGCCCGGAGGGCAGCCCCCTGCTGCGCCGCGCCCCACTGCCCAAACATATCAAGATGACACACGAAACCGCCCGGCTGCTCTCCAAGCTGGACACTGAGGCCACAGCCAAGGCTGCCTGCTGCGCCGACCCCCTCCAGCCCGGGGAAGCCGAGGAGGAGCGGCTCTGACCGCCGCTGGACGCAGGATTGCAAAGAGGGACTTGTGTCTTCTAGCCCGCCACCCTCCGGGCCGGTGGCTCCCCATGGGAGACTTCAAACCCTTCAGTGACAGCGCCTGCGACAGGACAACAGGAGACCCGCTAGTATCAGGGCCGCTCACGTTCACGGTCAGTGTTCCTGGTCCGTGAGAACCTCGGGGTCCACTCTGGCCTCTGACCCCTTCGGGGGGCCTTTTGCTGCTTTAGGTAGGCACCATCCCACCTCTGACTGCCAGTGTCACTGAACCAGGCTGCCCCCAGCTGGTGACTGGCAGCCCAGACGCCGCCAGCACTACCCATGCGTGGTGCCCGGGATGTGGTGGGCTCCGAATAAACCACGTGCTGGGGTCGTGACGTGTGATTCTGCTAACGAGAGCGCCCAGGAGCCAAGCCCCCTAAAGCACCCCGTATTCCAACCAGGGAAATCAAGGCACACACCCCCTCCACACTGTTTTTGTTTTGGCCCGATCCCCCTTACACCTGTGGGTAAAACAGTCCCGCCTGCTGACTGAGTCATGCCAGAGCCTGGGCCTCGTGTCCCCAGACCGGTCCTGTGCAATCAGGCACATAGAACGAAAGGACAGATAACCGGGACAATAGGGCCGTGTGCTCCGGCCCGTGGGAGCCCAGCATCGCCTCTGGAAGGCGGCGGCAGCTGCAAGGTCAGAGGCCAGGCCAGGGACAGCGCTGCCCCCGGAGGAGGGCTGGAAGAAAGGAGAGCACGGGGCGATCAGCTGGGGAGCGGAGCCGGTGTTGGGGGTGAGGGAACAGCGGAGTGGGCAGGGAGGGTCCGTGCCCCAGCCTGGCTGCAGGCTCGGGAAGCCGAGGCATGGGCGGGGGTCTCCAAGTCGGATCAGGGCGTGGCTTGCAGCTCGGCGGAGGATTGGCCGCGAGGGCTGGCGGGGGAGAGGAGGGAGGGGGTGCCGACCCTGAGACCCCGACGCTGCCCGCGATCACGGCGGCGCGACTTTCACCGGCGTGTGTTGAGTCAACTCCAAGAAAGTGCGGGCGCTTTAAGGTGCGCGCAGGATCCCTCCCCGGGGATGAGGGTCCCGCGCCGGAAATGGAGGGGTCCACCGGTGGGGAGGAGGAGGAAGGACGGAGCAGGGAATGGGCAGCAGTTTCCGGGCGACCTGGGGGGCTCGGTTCCTCCTCCCCGCCAACCCCGCGGCCAGGTGCTGGAGGTGGCCGCGGAGCGGGGCGGGGCTCCCCGCAGGTGCCGCCCCCCCAGGTGACGGGAGGGCGGGGCTTCGCGGCGGGGGTGGGGCGTCGGGGACCCCGCCTCTGTCGGACGCGCCCTGTGGGTTCCCGCCGCGGCCATCGGGAGGGGTGGGCCAGGGTACCCCGGCTCGCCCCAGCCCCTTGGAGAGCGCGCTCCGGGTGCTGCGTGACGCGCGCCCCAGGTGAGGCCCGCAGGGGCGCGGGACGGGGTGGGCGCGGCACGTGGCCGCGGGGTCTGGGGCGCCGCCGCCTCCTCCTCTTCCTCCCCCATCTCCTGCAGGCCTGGGCCGGGCGCGGGGTGGCCTCCGCGCTGTTGCACGCTCCCCGAACGCCCTCTTTGTGCTGGGTCCAACCGGAACGGCTCGGTGCCCCACCCGCTCCGGCCGCCCTGGCACCTCTCAGTCCTGCGTCCCCAAGCCCCCTTGCAGGTTCTCCCCAGTGCCCCCGCTCACCTCCTTGCCCCAGTCTTACCCGCAGGGTCCCAGCAAGTGTTTCAACCACGGGGCACACGCACCCGCGCGCGCGCACACACAGGGACCCCACACACACACCCGCTTCCTGCTTTCCCCGCCCTGGCCCTGTACATGGCCTTGTCATCAAAATGACTTTCCCTTATCTGATCAAGCAGTTCCCACACCCTTGGGTCCTGGCCCCTCGCCCTCGGCTCCCCTGCTCACTCTCCTCCACCCGACCCACGACCACCTGCGGCACTGGGTGGACCCCCGGGGGCGATGGGATCCGACCAGGTTTGAAAACCAAAACAAATCATTGATCCAGGAATTTTTAAATTCCCCGCCCCAGTTTGAGGCCCTTCCCAATCCCATGATCACTCAGTCCCAGTGGATCTGCCCTGGCCACTGGCTGCACCCCGCCTTCCTCCCTCTCACCCAGCCCCCATCCCATTCCAGGCCATCACCATGGGCCAGTGCTACTACAACGAGACCGTGGGCTTCTTCTACAACAACAGCGGCAAGGAGCTCAGCTCGCACTGGCGGCCCAAGGACGTGCTGGTGGTGGCGCTGGGGCTGACGGTGAGCGTGCTGGTGCTGCTGACCAACCTGCTGGTCATCGCGGCCATCGCCTGCAACCGCCGCTTCCACCAGCCCATCTACTACCTGTTGGGAAACCTGGCGGCGGCCGACCTCTTCGCCGGCGTGGCCTACCTCTTCCTCATGTTCCACACGGGACCCCGGACCGCGCGCCTCTCGCTGCGCACCTGGTTCGTGCGCCAGGGCCTGTTGGACACCAGCCTCACGGCCTCCGTGGCCACGCTGCTGGCCATCGCCGTGGAGCGCCACCGCAGCGTGATGGCCGTGCAGCTGCACAGCCGCCTGCCCCGCGGCCGCGTGGTCATGCTCATCGTGGGCGTGTGGCTGGCCGCCCTGGGCTTGGGGCTGCTGCCCGCCCACTGGTGGCATTGTCTCTGCGCGCTGGACCGCTGCTCGCGCATGGCTCCTCTGCTCAGTCGCTCCTACCTGGCCGCCTGGGCCCTGTCCAGCCTGCTCGTCTTCTTGCTCATGGTGGCTGCCTATGCTCGCATCTTCTTCTACGTGCGCAGACGGGTGCAGAGAATGTCGGAGCACGTCAGCTGCCATCCCCGCTACCAGGAGACCACGCTGAGCCTCGTTAAAACCCTGGGCATCATCCTAGGTGTGTGCGCCGGGGACCCTGCCTCCTCACTCTGCCCTGCTCACTCTGCCCTCTGCCCTCCTCACTCTGCCCTCTGCCCTCCTCCCTCTGCCCTCCTCACTCTGCCCTCTGCCCTCCTCCCTCTGCCCTCCTCACTTTGCCCTCTGCCCTCCTCCCTCCGCCCTCTGCCCTCTGCCCTTCTCACTCTGCCCTCTGCCTTCCTCACTCTGCCCTCTGCCCTCCTCCCTCCGCCCTCTGCCCTCCTCCCTCCGCCCTCTGCCCTTCTCCCTCTGCCCTCTGCCCTTCTCACTCTGCCCTCTGCCTTCCTCACTCTGCCCTCTGCCCTCCTCCCTCTGCCCTCTGCCCTTCTCACTCTGCCCTCTGCCCTTCTCCCTCTGCCCTCTGCCCTTCTCCCTCTGCCCTCTACCCTCCACCCTCTGCCCTCCGCCCTCTACCCTCTGCCCTCCGGCCTCTGCCCTCTGCCCTCCGCCCTCTGCCCTCCTCCCTCCGCCCTCCACCCTCTGCCCTCCTCACTTTGCCCTCTGCCCTCCTCCCTCTGCCCTCTGCCCTCCGCCCTCTGCCCTCCTCATTCTGTCCTCCTCCCTCTGCCCTCCTCCCTCTGCCCTCTGCCCTCCGCCCTCTGCCCTCTGCCCTCCGCCCTCTACCCTCCGCCCTGCGCCCCCACATCACTGCCTAGGGAGCCGGGGATCCAGACCCGCCACGCGCCCTACTCCTCATCCCCTGGGAGCTGGCGCATGGGATTGCTAGATGGAAACCCTCCCAGTGAGCAGCGAATTCAGCTTTCAGGGTCTGGCTCTTTGGGGTGTGGGCTGGAATCCCCTTTTATTCTGAGTTTTATCTTAGAAAGTTTTCTTTTGTACCCAATATATGTTATTTTCTTTATGTAAGGTGAACATTTTTAAATTAAAGATTTATTTTCGTTGGCTAGCCAGATATACAGAACGAGGAGGCAGAGAGGAAGATCTCCCATTCCGTGCTTCACTCTGCAGGTGCCTGCGTGGCCGGAGCTGAGCCCATCTGAAGCCAGGAGCCCGGAGCCTCCTTGGGGTCTCCTATGCAGGTGCAAGGCAAGGACCTTAGCTCCTAGGCTACCTCACCGGGCCCAATAAATAAATCTCTTTGTGAAAAAAGAAAGTTTTTTTTTTTTTTTCCTCTAAGCAAGAGAGGCATTTTGGAAGCCAGCCAGCCACGCTGCGCGTCCTTTGCCCCTTCACGGTGAGCTGTGGACACCCTCCGGCAGCCCCTTCTCCCAGTCCCAAACTCCCTCCTTTCCAAAGCCACCCTCACCCTGGCCTTTTCCATCGCGCAGGGGCGTTCGTGGTCTGCTGGACCCCGGGCCAAGTGGTCCTGCTGCTGGATGGCCTCAACTGCAGGTCGTGCAACGTGCTGGCCGTGGAGAAGTACTTCCTGCTGCTGGCCGAGTCCAACTCGTTGGTCAACGCCGCCGTGTACTCGTGCCGCGATGCCGAGATGCGCCGTACCTTCCGCCGCCTGCTCTGCTGCCTCTGCCGCGGCCGGGCCGGCCTGGAGTCCGAGCGCCGCTGTGCGTCCTCTCCCGGGGGCGCCGGGGCCAGCACGCGCATCATGCTGCCCGGGAACGGCCACTCGCTCATGGACTCGACCCTGTAACCACGCTGAGCCCGGTGCAGGCTCGCTGCCGACCCTGCAACCACCCCGAGCCCGGTGCAGGCTCGCTGAGGACCCCTGCAACCACCCCGAGCCCAGTGCAGGCTCGCTGCCGACCCTGGAACCACCCCGAGCCCGGTGCAGGCTCGCTGAGGACCCCTGCAACCACCCCAAGCTCGGTGCAGGGACCCCTGGAACCACCCCGAGCCCGGTGCAGGCTTGCTGCGGACCCCTGCCCACCTCCTCTCACATCCCTTCCACGTGGGGGACTTCCAGGAGTGGCACACGTCCAAAGGCGCAGAGCCTCACTGGCCGTGTCAGGGTCAGGGCTCATTGCTGAGTCCCTGTGGATGCCGTGTGTGGATTTTAACGCTGCCATCATCTCAGGTTTGGAAAAAAAAAAAAAACAAAAGCAAAAAAAAAAACAAACTTTTTTTTAAAACAGGACATTTTTTTTTTTCACTTTTTTCTGTTTGGTTCAACCTGGCGGATTGGCTTGTCCCAGCGGTGTGTTTGTTGGGGGAGCAGGTTGTCCAGGACAGACCCCCCTTCCTCCCCTCCAGGCCGATTTTCGGGGTCTAACTTCTCTCCCGACACAGGACTGAGGGCTGGGGAGCGGCATCAGAAATGGAGGTCTGTTTCGGACCCCTCCCAGCGGACCTGGCCGTGTTAGAACCAAGAAGGCTCGCAGGGGCATCTGCCCTGGGGAGCAAACCGGTCCCCCACTCGTACGAGCTCCAAAGCTTTTTATTTCCCCCCCAAATGTCTGGCACCGGCCGTGGCTAACCCTGGGAGAGGCAGGCAGGGCCATCTTGGTCTCCTCCCATGGGATGCTGGGCAGCCACGAGCGAGGGCTGACCCTGGCTTCACGGCAGCAGGTGCGGGAGCAGGTAGCCGGATCGGAAGGACCTGCTGACATCCGACACCTGCTTCTCGTGGCCGCTTCCCCTGCTGGACTGTCTGCAGCCCAAGTGGTCTGACCTTGGCCTTTGATCCATATTGGTCAGCGCCCCACCGTCTTCCTGCTTGCCCCACACGCCTCATGTGGGCCACCTTGGCACCGGGTGTCGCAGGTGGTCACAGCCAGGTGGACGGAGGCTGGCTTGGACCGCTGTCACTGTCTTTGTCCAGCTCTGCACACGAGCCTGACACGCTGGCCCTTGGGGGTCCACTGTGGCCATTAGAAGGAGGCTCACAGAGGTGGGTCCTCCGGCCCACGGCTGTCCAGCCTGGAAGGGGCATGGAGACGCGGGAGAGACGGACATTTTACATCCAAATGGCCTCAGAGGACACAGCTGGGCCGGGCCAAAGCCAGGAGCTCCTTCCGGGTCTCCCACGTGGGTGCTGAGGCCCAGGCACTTGGACTGACCTCCACTGCTCTCCCAGGCCACAGGCAGGGAGCTGGATCAGAAGTGAGGCAGCCGGGACTCGAACTGGTGCTGCTACGGGATGCCAATGCTACAGGTGGAGGCTTTTCCCAGTCTCATTTTTTTTTAAAGAAAGATTTATTTATTTTTATTGCAAATTCAGATATACAGAGAGGAAGAGAGACAGAGGAAGATCTTGTGTCTGATGATTCATTCTCCAGGTGCCTAGATGGCTGAGCTGAGCCAATCCGAAGCCAGGAGCCAGGAGCCTCTCCCGGGTCTCCCACCGGGTGCAGGGTCCCAAGGCTGTGGGCCATCCTCCACTGCTTTCCCAGGCCACAGGCAGGGAGCTGGGTGGGAAGTGGAGCAGCCGGGATTCGAACCTGCATCGCGGCGAAAGGATCCTGGGACTTGGGAGGGCGCCGTTGCCAAGGCAACGGGTCGGGAGAGGAAGCTGACTTGTTTGGGGGCGTGTCTCAGAAAATAAAAAATCCGTGTGCGAGGCACTGATTGGTTGGCAGCGGCCGAGGGGGCGGGTCTGCGGGCGTCCGGCGGCGCTGGTTGGCTGGCGGCGGCACGGGGGCGGGACTCCGGTTGGCGGGAGGCGGCTTTCCCCTCAGCGCCGCCCGTGGACGCCCCGCCCCGGCCGGACAGCGGCTCCTGTGGCGGGTGAGGCCTTCACCCACCGAGCCCGGACGAGGCCCAGGTCGGTGCCGGTCCCCGCGGGGCTGGAGGGGATGGAGGGGCCGGAAGGGCAGGAGGGGCAGGAGGGGCAGGAGGGGATGGAGGGGCAGGAGGGGCAGGAGGGGCGGGAGGGGATGGAGGGGCAGGAGGGGATGGAGGAGCCAGAGGGGATGGAGGGGCAGGAGGGGCAGGAGGGGCAGGAGGGGCCGGGATGGAGGGGCAGGAGGGGCAGGAGGGGCAGGAGGGGCCGGAGGGGACGGAGGGGATGGAGGGGCCGGAGGGGCAGGAGGGGCAGGAGGGGCAGGAGGGGCCGGGATGGAGGGGCAGGAGGGGCAGGAGGGGCAGGAGGGGCCAGAGGGGATGGAGGGGCAGGAGGGGCAGGAGGGGCAGGAGGGGATGGGGGGATGGAGGGGCCGGTCCCCGTGGGGCTTCGGGGTCATTAGGATGCAGAGGGGGTTGGGATCACCAGGATGGAGCAGGGTTTTGGGGTCACCACACTGGAGCTGGGGTTCGGGGTCACCACAATGGAGAGAGGTTTGGGGGTCACCAGGACGGAGCAGGGTTTTGGGGTCACAGGATGGAGCGGAGTTTCGGGGTCACCAGGTTGGAGGGGGCCGGGATGTGGCTGTAGGACTTTGGGGAACCATCCTAAAGTGGAAGGGGTGCTCCTGGGGAAGGAGCTTGTGGGGTGTCGGGACAGGGGGTCCTTTGCACCCAGAAGGGGGCAGCAGTAAATTCTGGTGAGAGTGTGTGGGAATGGGCAGTTTTGGGGGGTCAGATAACGGTGTGGGGGAACTTGGGGTGCTCTGAAGTTGGCACCTTGAGGCACTTTCTGACACACAGTTCCCTGGGTGGGCTGGGAGGGACTGAGGGGCACCCCAACACCTTCCGACCCCCTTTCCCTTCTCTTTTTAAATAAACTGGCAAATGTTGGCAGGAACACGTGGCTTTGGTGCGAGGTGCCACGCTGGGCGAGGACGATGCAGCTCATGGCACACACCCTGGGGCAGGCTCGGTTCCTGGGGGCCCTGCCACCCGTGGGGGAGACCCGAAGAGGCTCCTGGCTCCTGACTTGGGATTGGCTCGGCTCCAGGCCATCCAAGCAGAGCCCCAGGGGCTTGAAGCGGCTCACACCTGTGAGATGTGGCTTTTCCCACTGTGACACAGGCCGCTGCGGCCAACGCCTGAAGCAGGAACAAGAGCGAGCTGTCAGGCTGGGACCTCCCTGCCCAGGGTGGGAGGAAGGAGGCGGCTGGAGCTGGGGAAGCCCCCACGGCGCCCCGCCGCCGCCACCGGAGCCGTCTCTGGCATCTGACCAGAAGCTGCGGTTTTGAGTAAGAGCCGTCGTGGTGTTGTTGGGACCCACGAGTGAGGAAGTGAGGGTGTCGTCTTGTGCTTGTCCTGGGCGGAAGCTCCACGCTGACATGCTGACATGTTGCTCTGGGGCCAGCACCGTGGGATGGGGTGTTGAGCGTCTCACTGTGGCACCAGAATGCCACAGGGGTGCCAGTGTGTGTCCAGGCTGCTCCACTTCCCACCCAGCTCCCTGCCTGTGGCCTGGGAAAGCAGTGGAGGACGGCTCAGAGCCTTGGGACCCTGCACCCGCGTGGGAGACCCGGGAGAGGCTCCTGGCTCCTGGCTTCAGATCAGCTCAGCTCTGGCTGTTGCAGCCACTTGGGGAGTGAACCAGCAGATGGAAGATCTTTCTGTCTCGCCTTGTCCCTGTAAATCTGCCTTATTAATAACAATTACAAATAAAGCATTAATAAAAATTAAGTAGCTGCTCTTTGTTGAAATCCTGCAAACATTTTATGTCCTTTTGGAAGAATCGCAGCCGGCATCGTGGCACAGTACATAAACTGTCTGTCTGTTGCTCCGACAGTGTAGGACTTTTCCGCTTTGAGCCCCGGCTCGCCTGCCTCTCCTCTCGCCCTTCGGCCTCCCGGCGCCTGGTTCTCCGTGAGCGCGTTTCCGGCCCGGCCCTTCCACGTGACTTTTGAAGTAAATAGGCAGGCTCTGTTAGCAGAGACTGACTCACCCCCGACAGCCCCGAGGGCCAGGCGGAGCGCGGGAACTGCCAGGCCTCGCACTGGGTGCGGTGCCCGTGGTGACAGGCGCCCCATGCCTGAGCCGCGTGGAGCCAATGCGAAGGATGCCAGCCTGCGTGGGCAGCATCCTCACCCGCCGTGCCCATGGGAGACTTGCTGTCCCTGCTTTCTCACTCTGCCTTTCTAATAAATTAAATAAAATTTTTAATGCACAACCTTTAAGTAATCTACTGGGTCACTTCACCGGGCTGACTGCATGGCACGTGAATTTTATCGCAGCACCACTGGTGTACTGGAACGCCTGCTGTGGGGTGAGCCGCCTCCTGGGACACCTGCAAGCGTGCCTGGTTCGGGTCCCATCTACTCTGCTTCCAGCTGTTGGGCCTGGACCGGGCTGCTCCAGCCATTTGGGGAATTAAGCTGCATCTCTCTCTCTCTCTCTCTCTCTCTCTCTCTCTCTCTCTCTCTCTCTCAGCTTGCTTTTCAGTAGATTAAAACTAAACACAGAAACGTTTACAATTTACTGCATGAGCTTTAAGGTTCAAGAGCGTGTGCCTATCACACTGGGCCCGCGGCCGGACGTTCCAGACACTTCCAGAAGGTTGTGAAAAACCAGCCAACATCAACTTGAGCTCCGTTTTGCTGGGGACATTTGGAGGGGAACCCGTGTGCACACACACGCAGACACACGCACGCTCGCAGCCCCTGCCCCCGTGGCGAGGCTTCCCCAGCAGGCCTGCCCACCGGCTGCGGTTCCCTCGTGTTTTTTCATCCCGTCTCGGGTTTGTTTCTCTGACTCAGCCCCCTGGAACGCCCTGGCACGGGCGGGCGCCAGCGAGCTGGGTGAGGGTGTGAGCGTGATTAATGGGCCTAGCCGGTGAAGCTTGCTTCGGCCTGTCACCCATGACCTGCTTCCCGCCGGTCCCGCGCGTGGGCTGCAGACTCGGGGCTCGCTCACAGACACCTGGGATCTG